TCCTCCTCCTCCTCCTCCTCCTCCTCCTCCTCCTTCTCCTCCTCTCCTTGCTCCTCCTCCATCTCATCCTCATCCTCATCCTCATCCTCGTCCTCCTCCTCCTCCTCCTCGGGAGGCCGCAAGACGGCCCAAGAGGCCCCCAGGAAGCACCCAAAGGGCCCCAAGAGGCCCAACGAGGCCCCCAAGAGGGCTCCAGGAGGCCCCCAGAAGGCTCCCAGGGGGCTCAAAGAGGGCCCCAGGAGGGAACACAAGGCCCTCCGCAGGCCCAAACTCGGGGGCGCGCAACATTTTTCATGCTTCGCCAAACAATCCCCCTGACTGGGGGACATGCCCGACCCAAGGGTGGCCCCCGGGTGTGCCCAAGGGCACCGCCGAAGCCGACCGAGCCAGCCGCGGCGGCGAGGGCCTCCTGGGAGGCCAAAGCGGGCGAGGACGAGGGAGAAGCATCGGCAGGGTGCGTCCGCACCAGAATCGGGGGCGCGCCGACATGGATCAGCGATCCATGGATTTGGTGCCCGGTCGCCAAATCCCCATGGATCGGGGGAGCTGCCCTCCCGAAAAATGCGGCCGGCGCCGCCTCGTTCGGCGGCGGACGTCTGCGATGTCCCATGGAAGCGGGACCCGTCGCTAATCCATGCCCCCTTGATCCATGTTTGCGACCGCCTGACAAACAGAAGAACCTTCGAGGGTGCTCCCCCCCCCGGAAGGAACGGCAGGTCGCCGACGCCCTCCTCCTCCAGTGGGGGGTCGAGGTCGACAAGAGCATCAGGAACTGGAGGCACAATGCCGAAGGCGCCCTCGCGCAGTTCGGCGTCGCACTCGGACACGAGGAGGAGGAGGAGGAGGAGGAGGAGGAGGAGGAGGAGGAGGAGGCCAGCCAGCCTGGGCGCCGCCTCCGCCCTCAGCAGCATCCGCCTGCCTAGGCGGCTTCCCGTACGTGGTCACCCAGACGGCCCCGTGCGGCATCCTTAACCTTTCCTCGGGTGCTCCCCCCCACCCACCCCCGGGATGCACAAGAACAGAACGTCCGACAAAGACGAGAAAAATACGGCTCCCTCCCCGAACCGACCTCGACCTTCTACCTCGGTCCGACCGTACGACCATCGGTGATCCTCAGAACGTGTGCTGGCGCCAACGTGTGCTCGTCCACCGAAGCCCTTCAAATACGACGCAGGCGGTGCAATGCAGGCCGACGCAGGCTGCATGCTAGCGGTGGAGCTGAGCGGGGCAAGCACACACAGAAGCACACGACCTGAGGATCATCGAGACGAGTACGACTACGTCAGGTTCGTGTCGTGACAACTTCGGCGTAGGGATCGTTCAACTTTGAACGACCGGCCGTTTCCGGAACGTCCAAATCGTTCCACATCGAACGCTTCCGGGTCGCCCGCGGCGTTCAAAGCTGAACGCCGCTGGCGGGGTCGCCGCTGGCCGACACGGCACGAACCTACCGTACCCTGAATACCAATCAGGAGGGAAAAAAACACACAGACACAATGAATCGTCGACTCCCAAGAGAATATGCGAAAATATGGGAAGTGGGGGGAAGACAATAACCCAGAAAATGTTGGAAACTATGGTGAATCCTGTTATTTGCGTGTCTTCATTTGTGTCCCAGGGCCCCTTCATACAATACCATCCAAGAAGCAGGAAAGAACATCAGGGCACCCTCTCCGGGCCGCCCTCGATCTGATACCTCGGTCCGGCCGTAAGCCGGCGCTCTTGGCCGCGGCCCCCGCGGCGAGCGGCGGGGGCGGCAGCAGGCAGGCGGCGGCCCGCGGCGCCCCGCGGCGCCCCGCGGCGGGCCTCGTGCTCGAAGGAGTCGTCGAAGACGATTACGCGGCCCTCGCGCCGCCGTCCTCCTCCTCCTCCTCGTCTCCTCCTCCTCCTCCTCCTCCTCTTCCTCCTCCTCATCATCCTCCTCCTCCTCGTCTCCTCCTCCTCCTCCTCGTCTCCTCCTCCTCCTCGTCTCCTCCTCCTCGTCTCCTCCTACTAATACTCAATCTTCTCCTCTTCCTCCCCCCTCCTCCTCCGCCTCCGCCCCCGCCTCCTCCTCCTCCTCCTCCTCCTCCTCCTCCTCCTCCTCCGCCGCCTCCTCTATCCTTTTTCCTCATAGGTAACTCCCCCTGTCGCATCCGCAGACGTGTCAGTAGGGCGGGCCGGGCGTTTCGAATGAGGCTTCCTCACCATTTATGGCCCTGAAGCTTGAAACTCGCAGCAGCTTCACGGATAGAGGGCGGGCCGCTCTCACAATGTGGGTCTCGCCATAGCGCCGTGCACAATCGTCGTCAACCTTTGCAACAGCTTCACGGATGCAGGGCGGGTCGTGTTCAAAATGTGACTCTCGCCTGAGCGCCGAACACTCTGAATTTTTCATTGCAACAGCTTGAAGCATAGAGGGCAAGCCGTGCTCAAACTGCTGTTATCTCGCCCTAGCGCCGCGAGCATTCGTCACAAAAGTGTGCAATAACCAGTTTCACGGATGGAGAGCGGGTGGTTTTCAACATGAGGTTCTCGCCTCGGCGCTGCAACAGGTTCAAGGCTGAAGAGCGGTTCTTTCTCAAAATGCGGCCCTGGCCTTAGCGTCGCGCACATTCCTCTTGACTGTTCGCGACACTTCGAAGGATTCGCACGGTCGAACTCCCAGGATCGGCGCTCAGGCAAGATTTAGGATTGTTGGGACGCAACAATCACGTTGATTCGCAACGCTGCAGTCCCAGGAATGGTGTTCCGACACGATCTAGGACGGTTAAGACGAAACTGCCACGTTGATTTGTAACGCTGGAGTCCCAGGAACTGTTTTGGGCACGATTGAGGAATATCAGCGGTTGCCTCCCAATGGGGCGTTCCCCGTCATCAACATATATTATTGTAGGGCCCTATGATCATGCAAGTTGGAGGGAGGGCTTATTGCGACGTCGTTGTTGCGTCTTGGGTTTGCGCTGGTCCTCCTCGATTCAGGCTGGGGCTCAGAAGCATTTACTAACAAGTCGGCTGGGTGCACGCGCATGACACAATGGCAGGAGCAAGTGCTGCTGAACACCCCACACTCCCCGCTGCCGCTGGTCCTCACGGACCTGAATGACGGCATCGGCATTGGCTCGCTGAAGTCGCAGGGTTCCGTTGGCGAGGGGGGTGATCAGCCCGGACAGTGCTACGAAGGAGGTCACCAAAGGCGCTGGTGAGCAGATACGAGAAGTACCCCTGCACCACCACATGGCAGTCTACAACGACACGACGGACCCAATATGGTTCGGCAACAACGGGGAGACGCATTGGACCCGTGGCATGGAAGGATGTTTGCACTTAGGCGGCGCCGCTTGTTCGGCCTGGACGAAGGCTGCAGGCCATCCCTGGCAAAGTGCTGAGGGACCACGCACCAGCGCATGCAACAACCAGATACAAACAATTGGTAACTTGTGACGATCAACGCACTGAGATGCAATGGGAGAAGTGGGATAGAGATACGATAGCAGACGGTCTCACACACGAAGACAGGCAACACGACTGCCCAGTCAAGTTAAACACGCTCCTGCAGGCCAACATGACAGAGTTGGTCTCTCTTGGGTTTCAACATACTCCACATGATCTGTTCAGTTACTTGGAGACGAGTACGGTGAATGTTGCTAAGGAATTCTTCCTGTAACCGCATCATGTTGACGAAAACTATGAACAGCTCCGACTTGCACGACTGGCGGTCCTCAGACAGCGAGGCGATCTGCGTGAGGCTACATGGGAACGAGAAGCGACAAAACACAAAGTCGGATCAGGAAGGTGGCAGAATGCGAACATGGATGAGGCAACGAACTAGAGAGACCATTGCACAGGAGATGCATGACATTGGGAAGTCAGACGCTTCGCATTAGCATACAGAGCAACGATCATATTGGGCAACAAACGGATGGGGACTAAGCGAAGTGATGTTCGGGCTTCACCCCGAGCGAATCCGACGAGGACCGAGTGGATGCAAGCGCTCGAGCGACCCAGACGAGATGGAGGAATGGGCGCAGTGGAGCCAACGCATCAACCACAAGATAGCGACCAGTGCTTGAATATGAAGAAGTACCTGACGAGCTTCCCCGTATACCTGACCCCTGGGAGCGCATGCCTGATGGCCCTGATCAGCTACATGCATTTGAAGACGATCATGTTACCGATGTTTTCCCAAAAGTCAACGTGACGTCAAGAGGTTGACATGGTACCTCTGGAAGACCCCGAAGCGAAAGGCATGCCCGGCACAGTCTCCACCAGCTGAGCTCTACTAGATGATAATTTATCCTTCTGGGGACTCAATGAGCAAGGGCGTGGGCTTCGACTTAAACAATACCGACAACAGTTACATCGAGGCGTGTTTGCACGTGGCTTCCTCAATTCGGAATACCACCAGATCACACCAAAAAGGCTGGCATGGCAGCGAATGCTACCCTGCGAAGAAGAACGACGATCCAGGACCAAAAGGGCGACGTGCTGCACATTCCCCGTATCTTGGACAAAAGGTTTTCTTGCGTGCTGTATCGGTGCCAGAGGACCTGACCCACTACCAAAGAACACCACGGCTATGCTAAAGGACGGCGACGTGAGACAGCAGTGGTTGCCTCCACGGCGACTGGGCGACCGCGTACAGACTGACACAAATGGGGCTCGTACGTTGACAGCTCCAAAAATATAACAAACGCGCCCCCATCGGTGGGCTGGAACTGTATGGCACAAGCTGCTGCTGATCTTGCACGGCCTCGTGCCCTTATGCTTGCCCTCCAGGGTATACGGTGTGCGCAACTGCTCCTTCCAGCCGCAGAAGGTATACTCACGTTACGACCGACGGAGGGAGGCCTCATAGGGGACCCGTTCATGGTGCACTGCTTCCCCATGTGCTGTCCCCCACGCCATCCACCCGTTGACATCGCAGTGGAGGGAAAAGGATGACTCTGACAAGCGGCTGGTGCCCAATTACGAGACAGGATGTCGACCTAGGTCTGTACTTGCACGCCGATGATAGCAACAAGAAGGTCATCCAGCACTCAACCACGACAAGGGAACACGTCAACTTAGACAACCTGCGAAGCAAGATGCAAGAATGCGATGCGCCCATGGACGCATGCCGTACTAGCATCGGCCTCGCACAGAACAAGACGAAGCAGGCGAAAACCATGGCCACCCACGGACCTGGGAGTGGGATTGCGCGATTACACCAGAGAAAAACCCCAATCAATGGATGGTTTGAAATGGGATCGATAAAAAGATCGATAAAGAGATCGACCGGGAACCCGGGAACCCGGGAACCTGGGAACCCGGAACCCCGGAACCCACCGAAATCGGACCGGAACCAATGACCAGGAACCCGGGAACCCAGAACCGGGAACCCGGGAACCCAGCCAGCCACCAAAATCGGCGGGACACTTTCGCCAAATCTTTTCATTTCCGCTAGGACCCCTTCTGTGCAAGCACTGGTTGGGGAATAACACACAGACACAATGCATCGTCGATCCCCCGGAAAATACAGGAAAGTGTAGAAAGTGGGGGGGGGGAGACGAGAGAGCCCAGAGAATACACAGCAGCGGGACGGACAACTGGTCGATCATGCCAGGCATCGTGGGCCCACTGCTACCAGTAAGCAAAACGTCAGCACCGAGCTAACGAAGAGGTTGCAGGCGGGCCACGCTACTTCCTATGCGTTTGGATCGTTCTGGAGTGCTGCGGAGGAACAGGTGAAGGTGGAGGCGAGCTCTGTTGCTGGGACGTGTGGTCAATGCTGCGTTTTCTGCGGTAGAGCCGCCTTTCCGCCCAACCAAGAAGCAAGAATAGAGGGCAGAAATCCACTCCGATAGTAACCACCCCGAAACGCGAAGCCGTTTAGTAAACGCGCCCCCCCCCAAAAAAATCGAGCAGGGCAGGGCTGTTTAGTAAACGCCCAGGGCCGTTTAGTAAACGCCAATTGTCCAGTCCGGGTGGTTTTTCCGCTTTTCCGCCCTGGAAATATGGCACGATCGGTGGAAGTGTAGCTTCGCCGGCGCGCATAGCTATGAGAGGAAGGGCACGCACATGGAGTGAGGACGGCACGGTACGATCGCTCACCAACACCAACGCGGAGGTCCTGACGAACCAGGAGATTGCTCGTCCTGACGTGGAGCTTTGCTTGCGTCGCCCCAAGTGGCTGCAGCAGGCGAGCGGGGAATAGGAACGACAACGCCCAGTTGCGGGCAGCTGCAATACACAGTTCCCGATGATGTCAGCATTTCTTGGCCACGCCAACCCGTGGCCAAGAGCCCAAGAGGATGTTAACACGCTCGCGCGCTGCTCTGAGGAAGCTCAATATGTGCAAGAAGTTGCGGGATCGCACATCGTGGAGTGGCTGAATTCCCCGAATGGAAAGAAGAGTCCTTCAAAATCGACGTCACCGTCCTCAGAGCCAAAGAAGCCAGAACAAACACACCGCCCCAAACAACACGCATGTCCGACGAGCCCCATAGACACAAACGAGGAGGAGAACGCTACTCACGAGGCGGAAGCTTTCACGTGCAAGGAAGGGGTAAAAGGAAGACAATGTGGGAGGGCCTTCAACTTGAAAGGGTACTGCGCACACACGTTCGACTGGCACATCGCATCGTCAACTTCACCTCGGTCTGCAACCCGGAAGAATGGGCGTATTGTGTGTCAGACAGGATTCGCCGCCCTTGCCACCGTGGTTCGCCACGGCCGCCCACCGCGCTCTGGCTCTGCGCGCCTGGCTGCTGCCGCCCGTCGGCTGCTCATCGTCGAACTCTTCGGCACCTGAGCGTCCCCCTTCTCTCTCGGCTTCCCCCCTCCATCCTTGCGCGCCGGCCAATTCGCTAGTTGGTGCCCTTGCC